CAGAATTTTAATTTATCTGCTGTCATAAAATCTGAGTACCTTTTGCTGCAGCTATAATTGTTTTCAACGAAACGTCCTCATGTCCGTCTACAGTCCTAATAAATCGATAAATATCACCTGCTTTCGAATTCAATTTTTGTTTCTACAGAAGACACCCGAGGAATAGTGAGATTTTGCGATGGGTGTCAAATAGTGGTCATATTGTCAGCCAGAAATGATTGGTCAGTTCAGTTATATCCCATATAATTAAATGTGAGCATCTTGTGAATATTATGTTTTATGCAGTTTTCTAATTTTCGTAGAGAATGTCACGGAAAAACGCGCACTTTGTCATCCCTTGCTGCGAGTGACAAATCATGTCTAGTTGTCGCTGGTTAGGACTGCTGTGGGGCCTGTGTGCCGAATTTGCCGTGGACTGCTCTGAGACCTCACACCACGGTCTGCAAAATATAATAGGCATATGTGTCACACTGCTTGCTTTATTTGGTTCATTTTACCAGTATTTATGATTTCGAAGCAGTTTTGATGATTTTGATAGATGCGACACTACACTTAATGACTAGTACGGAAGTGCCGAGAAGAGGAATTCCCTGAATGCTGGTGGACGCTTGCCCATTTAATTTCAGGAATGTCAGTTTTCCCTTCTCACTTTCCCTGTTAAATTGTATTTGACCTTTTTCAAACACGAGAGCCTTTCCGATTTTGCCACTCGCTTTAAAAAAGCCTGCAGCCAAAACTCTCTTTAGTCATTTCCCACAGATCTATTCTCCTTCTGCAGACGGATGTTGCAATCAGTGACCTCTGTTTTATTTTTCCGAAATTATTAGCAGTATTCGTTTTCATTTCGAGTTTTCATGGATTTTCCGCATCTTTTAGCCTATAGATCCTCGAATGCTTTCCAACCATTCCTGCACAAAATTCGCAATCATTCCGTTCAGTCTTAATATGTTCCCTCCAAGCGCGTATTCGGTCGCATAATTCTTGTTTCAAACAATGGTCCTCTCTTAAAGCAGCATGCGTACAAGCCGCCTGCTAACACATGTCCCTGTCTACAGTGATGGCCCGAATGTAGATGAAAGGGACTGTCAACCAGTGTGATGTGTCATTTGTCTATTATGTTCAGCACAGCTGACTAACGATGCTGCAAATTTTAGCGGCTCAGATAGAAAGGACGTCCTCATTGCGCCGATCTTTCGGCAGAAATAATCCTACAAGCAATTCCCTTCCAGTCATTTATTTTCAGAGGACTGGGATGGACTAAGTCACTGCACTTTGCTCACTTTATTTAGTCCATTTTACCAGGATTTATGATTTCGAAGCAGTTTTAGTGATTTTGATAGATGCGACACCACACTTGATACCTAATGAGGATGTGCCGGGAAGACAATCGCCTGAATGCTGGTGAACCCTTGCCCATTTAGTTTCTGGAATGTCACGAAGTTTTGACATCCCCCTTCTTAATTTCCCTGAAAAATTTATCGAAATGTATTTTATTTGACTTTGTTTAAATGGCGTAGTAAATTTATAGAGGAGACAGTGCATGGTGCATGCCCTCCCCAACGATAACCCTGAAACAGGGGATATAGTTGAATAAGGATTTCTTATCCTTGCACAAAATCTTCAATTAATTTTTGAAGGACTGTTCCTCGAAATTGCAACTAAAAAATCTCCAACTCAAGAGCGAATTCCGACCTTTCTGCCCGAAATCTGACATTTTCAAGAACTGTTATTTAGGAAGTTCGATGGTGCCGATATTTATTTGAGGCGAACTTCGCACACATGCCGTGTGCTTCTGAAAATCCTTAACGAGGGAGCCACCCAAGTTCCGAACAGACTTTGTGTCACTTTCGTCAAGAGCAAGTTTAACCAGTCTTTTCATGCTAAGCAGCTTTCTTTACATTTCTCGTAAAAGAAAGACTCACAATTAGGAAATTTGGTGAGGGTGGAGAGATTAACCCAAAACATGGCTCAGCACAGTCTGCCAAGGTACCAAGAATGTTCTCCAGCCTTGCATGTTCAGTTTCGCTCACTGAAGAATGGAATGTTTCAAGGTCTTCGGATCTCCTGCCGGCAGGTGCCACCTTGAAGGGGATATGACTTGCGACATTATCTAGGCCTAATAGATACGGCATGATTGCAATGGCGCCGAGTAGAAGTACACCACATGTATTTTTAATGTAGCCATCTGTCAATTTCAATTAGCTATTCCCAAATGCGAAATCTTAGCTTTTATTTTATGATATATTAGAGACGTCAGTGGTTTAAACGCTAAACCTACACAGGCACTGTTTGTTACTTTATGCAACCTCAGCCTTTAAAGTGAAATGTTGAAAATATTATAGTTGCGGTGAGTCCTTTGTGGCTTCACTTGCTATGTAAAACATCCCTGCAGGTTTGATGCGGTTTTCTCCCACAAACTACTCAGATGACTATTACCGTGCCTATCATCCCCGAAGAAGACGAAGAAGAGAAAGCGATTTCATGGACCAGATTGTATTCAAACTGACGTTTCGGTAACTCTCTCGTTCACATCATCAGATTCGTTAACTGGCGTTTCCTGCTGGCCTCGATTTGTTCAGCCTTGCCGCCTGACTCGTATTATAACCGTGCCCAACGCATGTACGTTGGCTAACCTCTTTTCTTTTGGCTGGTTGTGGCCTCTCTGATTCCAACCATTGGCGGACTGGCGTGCCTTATGTCCCCCTTACGCCTGACGTGGTTGCCGCTGCGTCGGCGTGCTCGTTTTGCCCCTCCCCTCGTCAGACGGCAGGCTGATCGATCGTTGTTCCTCAGGCGTGATGTTTTCGGCCTCGCGAGATCACGAGGCCCAAAGGCCCACCGCCGAGGGCAGAACAATCAGCGGTGGTCTACAGCATCCCATGCCAAGATTGTGATGCAAGGTATGTTGGTGAAACAGGAAAACGCCTCAGCACAAGATTGCACGAGCATCAGCTTGCAATCAACCGCAAGGATAAGTTTTCGTTGGTGTATGGCCACACACTAGAGCGGAACCACAGTTTCGCCTGCGAGAAAGCGAGTGTGGTCGGCCGAGCCAATGAGAAAATGGCCAGGCTGATGATGGAAAGTTGGTCCTCGACTGGCACGCCCAACCGAGCCATAGACCTACATCCCGCCTACCGGGCGCTCCGCGCAAGGCTCAAGTCAGTCCAGGCAGGACCAATAGCACGGGTGAAAACAGTCACACGGGGTCGACTGCCGACGTTCGCGGATAGCGGGGAAGGCGCTGACCGAATGTCACGTGACCGGCGTGACACACTGCCTCACGGACGCACTGGCGAGGCCGAAAACACCACGCTTGAGAACAACGATCGATCAGCCCGCCGTCTGATGAGGGGTGGGGGACGAAACGAGCATGCCGACGCAGCCGCAACCATGTCAGGCGTGAGGGGGACACAAGGCACGCCAGTCCGCCAATGGCTGGGATCAGAAAGGCCACAATCAGCCAAAAGAAAAGAGGTTAGCCAACGTACGAGCGCTGGGCACGGTTATAATACGAGGCAGACGGCCAGGCTGAACAAATCGAGGCCAGCAGGAAACGCCAGTTAACGAATCTGATGATGTGAACGAGAGAGTTTCCGAAACACCAGCTTGAATACAATCTGGTCCATGAAATCGCTTTCTCTTCCTTGTCTTACTTGGAGGACGATAAACACGGTAACATATCTGGACCTCGGATCTTCACGGATGTTACAAATGACTATATTTTGTGCTGGTTGTATATGACAGTTCGACCATCGGTTTCGATTATGTCCACCGTGTGCCCCACAGTTGCAGCAGCAATGGCAGCAGGGACGGTGACTTACGCAGGGGTTTATAGTGCCGGTAGACTTGCGTAGCATCTACCTACACTCTCTCCTCCTCCCTCGCCCGAGCCCGGTGTCAAGACAGAGTCAAGAAGACCGGAGACGAGGGAGGCCGCAGGTGGATGGCTCGGATGGATCCTCACCTTGGCGTTCCACCACACCCCTTGGTCCACACAACAAATGATCAGGATTTCAACCAATCACAACAGACATTTGAAGACTGGCACGGTCGAAGCCGCACCTGGGCGTGCCGCCAACGCCTGGCTCGGATTCCACACTGTGCTGGGAGTGCCATAAAGGCCACATTAAAAAGGAGCCATTACAGCCTGACTCTCAGACCGCCTGCAGTCAAGGAGGAGGTCCAAGATACCCCGTCAGTTGGCAACCTTCCAAGCCACGGTTTTTAGCGCACCGTGATAGCTTCAAGCGCGTCAGATTGTTTATAGTGAGGAGAAAGTGCGCTGAGTCGTCGAACTCACTTTCCCTCCCCACTCCCACACCCCAGCTGCTGTCCGAGCCGGTCAGCAGACTGGAGTGGGGAATGGGCGCGGTGGCTGTAATGGTCGACTGACCATGACTGCGCGCGCCACGGCACGACCTGGCCCCCCATACACACCACACCAGGATTTCACACAACGTGGGTTGAACGGCGTGTCTCTCACTTGCGTGAGAGTGCCGTGGAAGGTGCTGTTTCAGCCCGTCCTCAGCCCACCAGTCCGCCACTCCACACAACACACACACACAACGCGACGAACTGCGTGAAACGAGAGCGGGCGTCAATCAGCGACCTTACTATCCACGACGCTTGACGTGCCGGGATAGTCTCGGACTCAAGTCACCCGTGCAGCCGAAACCGCATGGGGACCGAGTCGAGATGTGGACTTCCCACTTGCGTGGGAGGTGGCAGTTGGGTGCATGAGGTGTGGGAGTGTTGATTTCTGGTGGGGTGATGGTGGTGGTGGAGGAGGAGGTAGGGAGTGAGTGAATGTGTGGTGTGACCGGCGGTTGTCTACCGCAGGTCGTCGTGGATGCGCATGTGGCCGAAAAGGCCCATGCGATGCCTGAAGGTGCAAGGGCAGTGTGGGCAGTGGAGGCGAGTGCGGTGGGTGTAGGTTGGTGCTTCACGCACTGGTTCGCCAGTCTCTGTGCGATGGATTCGCAAGTGACCGACCAGGCCTACGTGTGAGTTGAAGTTACGGTCGCAGTGAGGGCAGGTTTAGTCCTGATCCTCATCGCTGGAGTCAGGGGAGGTGGTGGTAGTGCCGGTTGTTGTGCGTGGGACAGTCGCCTGAGCGGCCGCCGTTGGAACAGTGGGCGAGGAGGAGGAGGAGAAGAAGAAGGAGGAGGAGGAGGAGGAGGAGGAGAAGAAGGAGCAGGAGGAGGAGGAGGATGATGGAAGTAGTGGGTCAGAAGAATTGTCAGAGTTAGTTGGCGGTGGAGAGGAGGAGGAAGAGGCGGGCGGGGGACGATGGTTGGTGCCGTTCGAGAGGCGCAGTTAATCCGAAAATGTCCAACAAGTCCGATTCGAGCCCGGAATGTCCGTTGACATCGAGGACACGTTGGAAGCGGTTGTGCGGCGGCGTTGCGTACTGGGCGAAGTTGTGATTTGCGGGCTTCGCGTTTCGCTTTGGCGACAGCGATGCGGTTGGCTTCGTCGATCGCAGCGCCTATCTTCACTGTCCTCCTCCAGGTCGGCCGATCGAGTACGAACTCCTCCCAGTTGGTGGGGTTGATTTGCAGGCGTTTCAGGGAGGACTTCAGGGTATCCTTGTAACGGCGAATCTGGCCTCCTTGACGGCGAGAACCCGTCGCGACGTCTCCGTAGAAGAGTCGTTTGGGTAGTCGCTCGTCGTCCATGCGCACTAGGTGGCCGCTCCAGCGCAGCTGAATTTGCCCCAGTATGGCGTAGATGCTGAGGAATCCCGTCCGTTCCAGCACATCAGTGTCGGGGATTCGATCCTGCCACTTCAGCCTCAAAATGCGACGAAGACAACTGAGGTGGAAGTGGTTCAGACGACGTGCCTGCTTTGCGTACACCGTCCAAGTCTCCGCTCCATACAGTATTGTCGGCAGGATGGTGTCCTTGTACATCTTCATCTTCGTGCTCAGCTGAAGACCGTGGCAATTCCAAACTGTGCTTTGGAGGCGACCGAAGGCTTGACTGGCTTTCGAGATCCTGTTGGCGACTTCGTCGTCGATCTTGGTGTTGCGGGAGAGAGTACTGCCCAGGTACGGGAAGTTCTCCACCACTTGCAGTTGGGTACCGTTCACGCTGATTTGCGGCGGCGCGTTGGAGGCTGTGACTGAGTGGGGTGGCGGTTGGTGCATCACCAACGTCATCTGCGTGTTAATGACCAGACAGAAGTTCTCGCAGGCGGCGGAGAACATGTCCATGCTCCGTTGCATTTCCTCTTCCGAGGTGGTGTTCAGGGCGCAGTCGTCGGCGAAGAGGAGTTCGTGAACGGTAGTTGTGGATACGCGCGATTGGAAGTGCATCCGCCGTTGATTCAGGAGATGACCGTCCGTCCTGTAGGCGATGCGGATCCCGGGGCGTTCGT